CACTCGGCATTTTATTAACTTAGTGCTCAAGTCCGTGGCAATAATACATTACTTGGTTGACAGGTTTGTCATGGTACGAATATGAGTAATATTATACTAAGCTTACTATAAGCTTACATTGAAAATATAAGATTGTTTTTTAAAAGGTTGTGGTTACATTGTCATTTCACCTTTTTATCGCCTTTTTCCGATTCCTGGCCACGGTTTAATTGTCCTATAACTGTTTTGCCTCGCATTCTGATTTTGTTTCATTCTACCGTCACTCATTGCTCGATCGCGACAGCGGACGGAGCTGGTAAAAATTCAATCGCGTCTTATTTTAATTCCTTTACTAATTTTATAATCACTAGTAATCTAAATCCTGTGCCAATTTTAATAAGTTTATAACCACTACAGCCTTTATCATGTACCTATGAATACGTATCTGTAATTCAGTATATTTCGGCACATTAAGTTACGAAGTGTTTTGTAATAACGTACCTGTTTTCTATAATATACCTTTTATTGTTACCTTTCTTCTCTTTAACCGACTTTAAACAACTTTGTGGACCTGAAGTGTTCTGTTTTACTGCCGTGGACCTGCTCACGGCTTGTTAGGGTTACAGCCCTTTCAGATTTATGTAGGCTGGCGACTTCATACGTTTTCCGAGAGTTGTGTGTTTAATCACGATGTTTTTCCTTTACCGAAAAGCTCATGGTCAATTTCAAATTATATTGCGCATATACAAGCCGAGACACTGGACACCGGAGGTGCGAGCCAGAATTCAAACTCCTTGAGAGGCGGTATGTGAAAACTAAGTAAACTAGTGGAATTTAAGCAGCATTAGAGCTCCTTGTGAAAGAGTTCGTCAAAGTCAAAGTCAAAGTCAAAGATTATTTATTCCATAGGTAAAATAAATTTACACTTGAAATCGTCACATCTAAGCTACTGCTCGTTCACTACGCTGACCTCCCTGAGAAGAACGAGCAAGAAACTCTGGGGATTGCTCTTTTCAAATAAACTTAAATGCTATGGAATACACTTTGAATCAAATTTGTGTGGATTCTGGAGCCACGTCGTCTTTCCACACATCTTTATCTAACACGTAGTCTTCAATTTTGTAATATAATTTTTCGATCAAAATATTTTTAATGTAGTTTTTAAACTTAGGAAATGATAAACTTAATATATGCTCCGGAATCTTATTGTAAAAACGTATACAGGGAACGTAACGTCCAGGGAAGTACTGCCATTTTACCTATTTCTGTCGCCAAGCAGTAATATGACAATTACTGCGTTCCGGTCTTGAAAGTTAAGGGTGCTGGTGAAATTACAGGTACTTGGGACTTGTCAACTTCTGTCGCAGGGTGACGGGCACAGTGGCAGTGCCCCTCAGATCTTTGCGATTTAAAGCTCGAAGTGGCACTGCAACTGTTTTGGACAGGCGTGTCGCTTACCATCAGGCGCACGACTTGTTTGTGTATGCGTGAAGTGGCAGGGTTACCCATCACTTTCTCGTACTGTCACGTTACGTGGTCAGAGCGGCATCTAGTTACACAAGTTCATTAGATATTTATATCGATATAATATTGTATTGTTTATTAATTAACTAACTGGAATAATATTCAATTGATTTATTTTAAAAATATATTAAAAGCATAGGAAATGAAACTACTTTTCCGGATTTAAATCGCGTATATTAGTTTTTTCAAACAAACCGACGTTTCGGGTCCTTTACAGGTCCCATGGTCACGGCCGACTGAGGTGGTACAGTCTTCAACCAGTTATGTCTAATATTGATGCAAACCACCCTATTTTTTCACTGTAGTTACAATAGTTATTAATTAAATACCTTATTTTTAATTTTACAAAGAAAACATTCCAATTTACGCTACATTAGATTTTACAAATTATTTTATTGAATGAAACGTCGAAACGGCCCGAAACGTCGGTTTGTTTGAAAAAACAAATATACGCGATTTAAATCCGGAAAAATAGTTTCATTTCCTATGTATAACAATCGCGAAAACCTCAGAACTCGATATATTAAAAGCACTTAAAATGTTATATTTTGGACAAGTACTTTTGAATGAGGTAACCAAGGTACCTATTTGAAATTGCATGTCCAAGGTTACCTAGTTAATAATTAAGCAATGCAATTTTTTTTTTTTTAAATAAATAACGCACACACTCAACATAGCCCCGCACTAGGGAAACCCTGTGTCGCGGGTGCCATGGACACACACATAGACAACCACAAATTACACCCAAACTCACGAGGGAAATAATTGTAGGCCATACAACTATTTCTCCCGGCCCGGGAATCGAACCTGGGACTTCTACGTGGCAGTCCGGCATGGTAACCGTTCGGCCACGGAGGCAGTTAAATTCGAGAACCCTTGTCTACTAACTAGGTCACGAACTTAAGGCGTCTTATTATATTGATATAATAAATCTGTATTATATATTACTCTGCATAAATAAATGAAGGAAACAATATCTTAATAGTCTCAGACATAAGTTTTTTTACTTATTTCGTTTCATCTTTCGAAAGAAACTCCTCATTTTATCCCGTTTAATTGATGATAAACAGCCGTACACAGCACAATTCACAACCATAAATAGTAACGTAAAATGATGTTTTATATTAACGTACAAGTTTCGTAATGAATAAATGAAAACTCTATTCAAATATCGAAACCGTCTTAGCGCGAAAACGGCTCGCCGACGGCCTTGTTGTCGTTCCGTCAATGTGACCGTCAAAGTGCGGGGTGTGGTGCGGTATCTAAAGCTAGAGGGGGGCGGAGAGTGTCCATTCTCGTTACTTTTCTGTTCTCTCACGTAAAATAAATTAGATGACAATACTTATAATCCGAATATCTACGCTGTAATTTGGTGGTAGTTACTAATTACGCTACACATCACAAGGGCATTTTAGAAGCTTCGCAATTTGTTCGTATTATTCGCCTATTATACCCCTGCGGCTGGAGAAAGCAGGTGGATGATTTGTTTTGTGTAAATACGTAATTCGGTGGATTTGGGTCAGGTTGATTTTTGAATTCGGTGTATGCGATATTTCAAAAATTATAGGACATTGGCAAAGTGCCATATAAATTTTTGTTGACATAATTTATATGCGTCTGTTTATGACAAATATAGAGTTGAAGTTCCTGATCAAATTTTGTTTTGGGTTTACTGTTCTGAGAAGTAAGGAATTAAAGATATTCCATTTTGAAGTTTTAGAGGTTGTGTGTTACGTAACTGAATAAAATATATTCGGTGTATTATTATATCAAAATAAACTACAGAAGTAGTGGAATAAACTACAGAGTTAATAGAAGCTGAATGGTGGTGACGAATGTTCAGGGGAAATTATTTTGTATACTGATATGTCAAAATGCATGAAGTTAGCATACCACAGGCTATTGCACCGGTAACTCGAACACAAATTATTTTTTTGTGAAACAGTTTAACCATTTTCTTGCGTGGTATTTTGGAGAAGAAATTATCGACGTTATTTTTTGTAATGTAGTAGTTAATCTTTTATTAGTTTATTATGAATCGGTCGAATCAGTACATTTGATATTACGTGAACTAAATGTGGACCATATCCGTAAGTAGGTACTGAAATTCCTTCTTTTGGCGGCTAGATGTCGCTCTACGTTAAGAAACTAAGAAATTGATACTTGTAGATATCAGTCCGGTTATGTACTGGTTAGTCATTAGAGTTTCTTTTAAATATGATTTTATTTCCAGACTTAGGTATTGTATAGCTATTGTAATTTGAAAACCAAATGAATTTATTTTATTCAAACTTGTAATTATGACATTTGAAAAGACGCTAACAAATTCTTTTAACTATGATTTTGCCATTGTTCTATAAGATTGTATGTAATGTATTTTTTATATGTGTTGTAACGACTAAAATATAATAACAATTTAATGAAGAAAGAAAGAAAGAAAGAAAGAAAAATTGTTTATTAGCGTCATAATTATGCCATATTACAATTTACAAATTTTACATTCTTAAGCTTAGATATAAGTATAACGCTAAACCGACGTCTACTCAGCATTAGTCGAGGCATATTGCAACACCCCAACCCTGGTCTTCCGGAGACACCGGCCAGTTAGGAAGTACCACTACGCGCTGCAACGACACGCCGAACCATATAATATATGGTGACAAGTACGAACTCAATATGATGTAATAAAATACTTAACAGTTAATGGTTTTGCAAGCATTGTCGTCTACGAGCATTTACGAGTCATATCAAAAATACATATATTTTCTGAGTCCTTGGATACGGTGGATCAAATATGTCATTCGCTGTTAAGAATCAAGTTGCCCAATTAACGGAATCTTATGTAAGTTTGAGTTCTTTTTCCTTTCCGTTTTTCTTGGATTTAAAAAAAGTTCGACCACCGGAATCAAAGAATATAATTGCAATATGCAATTATGAGGGTATTTCTCAAAATTGCATATTGCAATTATGAGGGTATTTCTCATAATTGCAATATACAATTATGAGGGTATTTCTCAAAATTGGAATATGCAATTATGATGATATTTCTCATAATTGCAATATGCAATTATGAGGGCATTTCTCCACGTTTAGTGGAGTCTCAATGGAATCACAATGACCAGTGATTTCAAGAAAAATCAGAATTGGGGCCTAAGTCGAAGTTATTTACTTCTAAATCGTTATATTTCATTGTAGGTATAACAAACGCGAATACCAAAGAACTAGATATTTTAAATACTAATTTAGTTTAGTCGTCGAACAAAAAGTTTCTGGTTTCGATGTCTGGAATTAAGCCCTTGAAGTTTTTCTCTCAAACGTAAATAAACATCTGTACGGTTGTACAAATACGTAGTTAGCTGCCAGTTGGTTCCGTGAAGTCACCTGTACCCTCTCAACTGATAACATAACTTTGTATTTAACCCGAATTATTTACATTACCAATTTTATATAAATCGATTCAGCCATCGCGTGGGTGATAGTGGGATACAGATACTTATTCTGGCCACTGACAGACGACATGCGATTATTATTTTTCGAGTTATTGGTTTTGGCTGCCGTCGCTGTAAGTGCACTTTTTAATTATCTGTTAAGTCGGTCCTATCTACAGACCCGAGAGATAGGGTTTTCCGAATTGACTACGGGCTCCGTAGACAAGACCAGGGTACAGCAGGCGTCTAAGCCAAGTCCTCGTCACTGGTGGACCCAGACTTGGGTATGGACTCGCTGGGGTTTGTGGTGAGCTGCAGAGACGGACATGTTTGTCTGCCCCGGTTGCCCCGGTTGTTGCGGCCACGTCCACAAGTTGGAAGCTAGGTCCGGACGTTGTCACAGGATACTGCGACTGGTATCTGTCCAGTGTCTTGTTGCAATCCATCGCCTGTTAAAACATTATTATTATTATTATTATTTTGTAATATCAATTGACGCGATGACCAAGTCGTTCACCTTATGGTAAGCTACACGCCTGTCCATAACAGTTGCAGTGCCACTCAGAGGTTTAAATTGCAAAGATCTGTGGGGCACTACCACTGCGCCCGTCACCCTGAGACATAAGTTGCCAAGTCTCATGTACCCGTAATTTCACCAACACTTTTACCGTCCAAAACCGTAATACTCACACTACATCTTGGCAGCAGAAATATAGGTAAGGTGGCAGTATTTCTTTCATCCTTGTCGCAACAGTGATATCTGCCCTTTCGGGAGCCCGTTAGATTTTCGGTAAAATATAAATGTAATTTAAAAAATCAATACCAATTAAACATATGCTTTTACAGGTCTATCTACCCAGTGCAGCGGCGGGCCCACACCGTGAGTACATTATCAATATGAATTATAACTTTTTTGTAAAAAAGAAAACAACCTCAAAAGTCTGTGGAATTACGTGTGCTAAGTTTTATTGAAATTGGTTACCGGAAAGTGCACGAAACCGGATTCATCCCCTAGTTCGCCACCCTTAGCGATGGCATACTTTCTTCCAATTCAAATGGGACCATTACTGAGGTACCTACCATCTTTCCAACAAAAAAATATCATCAAATTTTTTTCACATACAGACAGTCTTTGAAGTCCGTTTTGAAGTTGGATACAAGTCGAGTTATTAGGTTTTCGCGATTGTTGCACATAGGAAATGAAACTATTTTTCCGGTTTTAAATCTCGTATATTTATTTTTTTCAAACAAACCAACGTTTCGTGCCCTTTACTGGTCCCATGGTCACGGTTGACTGAGTCAAAATAGTTTCATTTCTTAATGGAGACAAGTCCTTACATCACACTATTGTCACTTTGAACAAGAACTTTGAATTCGTAATTATTAGAATTTTCAGGATAAACTCTTTTGTAATTTGATTTAAAATGAGGAATATAGTTTTTCTTCATCACTATTTCTTTCTTCTTATTTTCTTCATAATATACCGAAAATAAAATTAATCTTTGTAAAGATTATACTTCTAACTTCAAAAACCCCGCCATTTTTTTAGGCACGCAATGTCCTTTTTGTCACGTAATGCATAATGTCAAATTTGTGATTTCTAATTTCGTAGTTTTGACATGGCACGGTATATTGATCACTTTGATTTGAAACTTTTCATTTGCATTTTTCATAGTAATAATATTTATTTTTTGTTACCAGGACAAACTCACAAAATAACCACAATAAAGAAATTAAGGAGTAAACAAGGTAAACAACAGGTTAAACTATAGTAAATAAACAAATAAGGTGACAGTAAAGCTCTTTGTGAAAGAGGTCGTCCATGGAAATACTCCCACTGGTCAATGCCAATTCCATATCTTTCTACATAAGTTTGTAGTACCCCGCCCTATCAACCTCTTGGTTATGTGGGAAGGGCACTATCACCTGTGCGAGCAAACCCACACAGGGATCATCGGAGTCAGATCTTAACCCCGGATCAGCCCATTGCACGGACTTCATCCGGTTCGCTACGAGGCTAGTGCTACAGATGAGCTGCCCCGGTGCACGTACATGTACAGACCATGGCCAGTCCCATATCATTCTACATAAGTTTCGTTTATAGTGGCTTCTTTATCAACCTCTTGTTTACGCAGGAGTTCAGGTTCTGACCCCAGATCAGCCAGTGTACAGGGTTGTCACAGACCTCTGTAACTTGACTTCATCCGGTTCTTCGAGAGGCTGGTGCCTCGGGTGAGCCGCCCCGGGTGCACGTACAATATCCTCCCTATTTTCCAGATAGGTACCGGAACTGTAGGCGCACTCACTTCCCGTTGCGCATTGCACAACTAGCGGTTGCCACCGCTAAGCCGTCGACTCTGAGTCCACTACCAAATCTCCTCATTGGTGGCTGAGCTGTAAGCCACGCTCACTTCCCCACGCCGAAAAACGTTCCCAATAACCTAAGCGACTAGAAGGACCGGAAGATGTCTAGCTTATCCTCTACTGGCTCTCCGAGCTAGTGTCGGAGATGCCGGTCGCAGTGTCCTGTGACAATGTCCGGACATAGCTTCCTACTTAAAGGGCAACTCACGTGCTGGCGCGTGTCCTCGCTTCAGGCCCTCAACTAGACCGCTCACGAGAGAGACGCCCCGGACACATGCAACCGGGGCAGACAAACATGTCCGTCTCTGCAGCTAACCATAAACCCCAGCGAGTCCATACCCAAGTCCGGGTCTGCCAGAGACGCCCGCAAAGGCGTATCACTGGCGGAGGGCTTGGCCCGGACGCCCGCTGTACCCTGGTCTTAACCCTCCTCATCTTAACCGAAAGAAAAATAACAATAGAAGTGCCTTAAACCTCATTTACTATCAGAACCGATGTCGCCAAAACTGGCACATTTTTAATTTGAAACACTACGAAATCTTGATATCGACTGGTCGTAGTTTCAAATGTAAAAAGAAATAACAAATTCTGGATTGTTAATATAATTTAAACTTTATCCGTTTGTCAATATCTGTTATTGCAAGTTACGACGTTTTGATATCATATTGAAATTTCAATAAATGTGCTGCCATCTAGCGGTTAATTGCTGAACGACGACGAATTGGAGTTATTAAGTATACATACAACAACAAGTAGTAAGTACAGGACAATAAGGCATTTTTTAAAGATTTTAGAGATTTAGTAGGATAGATGACACAACCATAACTTCGAGACTTATTGTTGGCACGCGTCTGACGCTAACTAACCACTTCTACTGTATTTATTATTCTGTGGACAAGTCCCATGTGCCTGTAATTTCACCAGCAACCTTACCCTTCAAAACCGGAACGCATTAACTTCAACTTGGGCGACTTTCCCAAGAAGTTGCTATCAAATTGCTTGTTCGAAATGTATGTACATATAAATCTTATAACGTATTAATAATAATAAAATCTTAATTCAGATGGATATCATGATCTACACAGCCATGAGCACGTTAAAGAGAAGAGGATTGTGCATGTTGACCACGAAGAACATAGAAATCAGCATTCAGAAAGACGACAGGGTAAGAAATATACATTTTATTACTAACATCATAAACAACACTTCTGGCCATTGCTTTTTAGAAAACATAATAAATTTACCAAAAAAGCTTTTTCTACTTCTGTCTTTATTATTCTGCCAATTACAATTTCATAAACCATATCCGCTCTTTTTAGTTCTGAATCAAAATTCTATTGTTTATGGTATATATATATATATATACTACCTCGTGATTGGTTGAATTGGCCTAAAAGTCTTGCAGTTATAAATCATTATATAAAAAAATATATATTGGTTAAAATGTAAGCGGTACTTGGCCACTTCTATTCTATCTCTTTGGTTTTTTTGTATTGTAACGTTTGTTTGGTTTTCGTCTAAATATTATGAAGAGGCTACCCTTGCCTACTAATAAATGGGATAAAATTTATTTCAAACAATTCCAATTGTTGTCATGGATTTTTAACAAAATATATTAATAATTATATTAATTCATGTTTACCAAAGCCTCAATAAAGTAATCAATTAGATCTTAAAATCTCGTACCTACTAGTTAGGCCACTCGGTATAGCCTCGTGGCCTAAACACGGTGGGTGCTCTACTTTAAATTCCATCCATTATAAAGATATTATTATACGAAATATGTATTTCTCTGAGTATTTATATAGTCTGTAGTAATTTAATGTTTTTGCTATTGTTTTTTTATTATTATTTTATTACATAATTTAATTTTGTATTTGAAATATCCGCTATTTCGCCCCTATACAGGACTTGACACGGGAGATAATAAAAATCGGTTCTCACTACTCAAAGTGTATTGAGAGAGAAAAATGCCTTGAATTGGAGAATAGCAAAATCATCCACTAAAATAATTGCTCCTTAAGTAAAATTCAGGCGCTATTTATAAAAATGAATTTTCATGCGTGATCAGCCACCCTTAGAGGTGGATGATTTTCTTCAAAACGAAATGGCACTATGGAGGTACCCTCTTTCTAACAAAAAAAGAATCATGAAAATCGGTTCACAAATACCGGAGTTATCGCATAACATACATACAAAAAAAACACACAGTCGAATTGAGAACCTGCTCCTTTTTTTGAAGTCGGTTAATAAGAAAGCAGTTGTTTGTTGTTTCCGTTGTACTAAATATGATTTGTGTTTTCATGTGCAATAAATGATTAAAGAAATAAATAACGACGACGTTGGCGTTAACGGAAATAAAAATTGACGATATCGCGTTTGTTTGCAGATTATAAGGAGACCATCGAAGTCCTTTACGAGTTAACTGGAATCAGAGGTAATATACAATTCCCTTTTTGATAAATGTATAAGAAGTTATTTATTGATATAGCTATTTATCCGTTATTAATATTACATCTTAAGTTACTAGTGATAGTAATACATTTAAAACAAATTAAATTATACTAAATACGATGATTTAACCAGTCAATGACTAGATTGTGTACATAGTCATTACCAGGTTTACGTTTTTGTGTATGGAGAAATTGGGTTAACCCGCAAACACCTCTAGAATACTAATTGGTGCTATACACAACCTGCTCTTTAGCGGAACATTTATAATGCACACGTTAGCGTGAATTACATCTATGGATGGTTCGGCGGACATTTTGAGATACGCTCATTGACTTACAAATAAATGGACGCCGGTCTAATACAAAAACCACGAAAAAAATGTCCCAAGTCAACCTATTTAAACGTAGTGACATGTCAAGGAATATGAAAAAGCTAAAACGTTGAATTTAAATTGTAATGTCATCGCAGTACTGTCTAATTTTGCTTGCTTCGCTGTCAGTCGAACAAACGTAGACTAGAGCGTGAATGACGCTCTGTATGCGATTTTAACGCCCTATAAGCTCGGACACTTTTTAGCGCGGACCCGACGTCCATATAATTGTAAGTCAATGGATACGCTACAGAAATTGGGCAGCCAAACAGCTCCCGAAAACCGTTAGTGTTCCGAGGCCTATGTTGAAACAAATTACAATCTTACACTGGCGTCATAGCACGTTTATGAAAATATCATTTATGTTAAGAGAAAAATACGAAGTACAAAAATACAAATAAAAATTTAAATATTTTCAAAACACAAGCGTCCAAAGTTAAAAATATAATTACAATTTCTTTAAAAGAAATTCCTCTGCACTCTTCTCGTCTTTCAGTCGGGAACATAACACTTCGTCATTTGTTACACTTTTTAGAATTGTGGGTAGGTGTTCGTAAAATCGGGGACCGATATAATGCCAGACATAACATTAATACGAGGAATAAAAATAGACTAGCTGTTCTTGACAGCTAACTTCACAAATTCATTTAAATGTAGCAGTTTTCGTAACTGTCGACGGAAGTACTGCCATCTTACCTATTTCTGCCGCCAAGCAGTAATGTCAGCATTACTGAGTTCCGGTTTGGAAAGGTGAAATATTGGTGAAATTACAGGGACTTGTCATCTGTTGATTTCATCTGAGAAGACTGCTACATTATATCACTTAATATCGTAAAAAAATATATACACTTCTATAATAAGATTCCGGTTGATATTCAAAATTTGCAATTCACGAGGTTTAAAACTATAGTGAAACAAAAACTTTATACAAAAGTCTGTGGCCCGTTTAGCCCTTGCCAGACTCGATCATTCGAAATAATTATTGTAAATGAATGTGTTACAAGGAACAACCCCTGCAGTTTCTTACACATTCTTCTAAGAGGAATCTGCCTTAGGAATAATCAGTATGACGATTTCGAGTGTAATTTTCTTATTTATGAAATAAATAACACTTGTGTTTGAAACTTGCATTGTGTGGTTTCGTAATAGCTGCATGTATACTGTATTTACTACGCATATATAATGATATCTGTGTCAGCACTCGTTCTCAGTATTTTAAAACGTCTAGAGAAGTTATTCAATCAAAAATAAATCTTTTTTGCCATGTAATAAACTACCAAATAATAATAATAAATTGTTTATTGAATAATTTATTGTACAAAGGACTAACGACTAATTATGCGCATCAACGTAAAACATAACACGAATACCTGAACTAGGAGGATCCTGTATTTCAGTAAAAATACTAATTACATAAATTATTGTACAAAAATGGCACAAGAAACAAAAAATCTGGACATAAACACATGTTTTGATGATACAATTTTGGTAATATCTTTCCGTCTTTTGTTAGTGCTTTTAGTACTATTAGGGAGTGCAACGTTCTGTTTGAGAACTGTGGGCTTAATAAATAATTGCCTTGCAGTTAGTACCGACTTATACAGAAGGTCAGTGGGCTAAAGGAAAGGGCGGAAGGTAGAAACTTTTAGAACCGCTAGCTGGGCTCTCTCAATGGTTAGTAGTGAAGGTTTAGCAATACCACCCCAAGACGTAATGCTATGTGTAATAATTGATTGACATATGGCATAACAGACTTGCCTGATTATTGAAAATCAGCAAAAGCGCGTAGTTTTTTAAACACACACACTTATCTTACAGATACGACCGCTTAGGGCTTCGATATGGTGCTTAAAAGAGAGGTTATCATCTATTATAACACCTAAATACTTTACCTTGTTAGTAATACCAACGTCTGGACACTTACACAGGTTGTTAGTAGTCTCCTTACAATGGTGCGCATATGGTCTTGTGCTAGTGTTGTGTAATGAAATTGATAGTAGAACATTTTTATTAGGTTTATGCCAGTGTCAGTTTTATAAGAATAGACAAAAATTGTGGCGATCATCGCCAGTGTCAGTTAATGTTTTACAAATACAGTAGCAGTAGAGCTCATTGTGAAAGAGTTCCAAAAACTACGACGAACAATTAACATCTGTATCAATTTGACAAACAGAAAATTGACAGTTGTAACAAAATCACATAACAGGAAACAACTCATATTAGTTCCGTCACGCACCGCTAGATGGCATTGGCGTCGAAATCGCAAATTCTGCATCGCGGTGTTAAGATTTTCCCTCGCGGAATGACTACTGGCGGCGATGCGAATTTGAATGTAATCCAACTTACTACGCATCTAGCTCTGCTTCCTTGTTTGGAACTCCGCTTTAGATCGTTACCGTTGAACCTACTGCACTGTGCTACGCTTCTAGCGCTGCTTCCTAATTGGAACTGCGCTTTAGAACGTAACACGTAGTTGTTGCACCCTGAGCCGCTTCCTAATTGGAACGTGCGTACGGGTCCTCGACTACGTGCCGATTAGGGGGAGTCCTTTCCCACTGCACCACTGACGTTGTACGTACTGTATAATGTTGTCAAATAAAACCACCATATTGGAAAAACCTGGTTTCCCTCTGTCACCTCAATAAGAACAAACTACACAGTTTAATAAGACTTACCGATGATATGAAATACTAATTACGGCTAATGGTGCGGTTATCATTTTTGCGCTCCAAAACAGCACATAAAGGCATTTCTATACGATTTTAGAGAATTTCCAAGAAATAATGACACAACCATACCACACAAAGCGGAATTGGCGGACCGAGCTCAGATAGGTCTTTCTGTATTTATTGTTCTGTGGCGAAATTCAATAAACCTGTTTCATCCCCTAATTTGCCGCCCTTGGAGATGGAATATGTGCTTCAAATTTAATTATTAGGGACCACAACTGAGATATCCTCTTTCCAACAAAGAAAAATAATCATCAAAATCGGTTCACAACATCGGAGCAATCGCATAACAAACACACAAAAAATAATACAGTCCAATTAAGAATTTCCTCCTTTTCGGAAATCAGTTAAAAATTTTATATTAATGAAGTAAAATAAAAATAAATTAAATAACGCACACTCTCATAGCACAGCGCTAAGGAAGCTTTGTATCGCCATGAACCCATACATAAACAACCACAAATTACATACAAATTCACGCGAGAAATCAATTTAGGTCGTATAAATATTTCCCGGATCCAGGTATCGAACCCGGGACTCTAAGTGGCAGAGCAATGGTAACCTATGGATTGTTTAGAATGTACAAATACTAATTTATATTAATTTAAAATT